GTTTTCATTGCTATGATCAATGGCTGTATGAAACCAGTAGCCAAACCTCATCGTTCTTGAGGATACCATGAACAAAATGCCTGTCAGAAACACAATTTTGTCGAGGGTTTGTCAGAGCTTTCTTTCCAGCGGTTTACACACCATTTCTGCAGACACTGCAGACGAGAGGTGTGAAGAACTTCTGTTTCTCTCTAAAATTGTTTAGTCAGATATTCTTCTTTATGAATGCTGATATGTCAAATACTTTCATCAAATGAAGTTGGTAAAGAATACACAAAGAACTTGGTATTATAAAAGGCCTTTAAGGAATAGTTCACCCAAAAAGGAACATTTATTTACCCTTAGGCCATCCAAGATGAGACTGAGTTTGTTTCTTCATCAGAACAGATTTGGAGAAATGTAGCATTCCATCACTTGCTCACTAATGGATCAACAGCAGTGAATGGGTGCCGTCAGAATGAGAGTCCAAACAGCTGATAAAAACATCATGATAATCCACAAGTAATCCACATGACTCCAGTCCATCAATTAACATCTTGTAAAGTGAAATCTGCATGTTTTAACTTTAAACTGTTGCTTCTGGCTATAACATGAGTCCTCTATCCATAACAATGCTTTCTCCAGTGAAAAAATCGTCTCATCTGAATCGGGAGAGAAATATGCACAGCACCGTTTACACGCGAAAAACAGTTCTAAACAAACTTGTTTGTGGATTTTGATGTGAGAGGACAACAGAGGATGGACTTTTTCACTGGAGGAAGCATATATATACACGTATTTTGGCCAGAAACAATGGTTAAAAGTTAAAATGCCTTAATGATGGATGTAGATGAGTTTGTTTCTTCATCAGATTTGGAGAAATGTAGCATTGCATCACTTGCTCACCAAAGGATCCTCTACAGTGAATGGGTGCCATCAGAATGAGAGTCCAAACAGCTGATGAAAACATCACGATAATCCACAAGTAATCCACACCACTCCAATCCATCGATTAACATCTTGTGAAGTGAAAAGCTGTGTGTTTATAAGAAACAAATACATCAAGACTGTTTTTAACTTCAAACAAGTCCTCTGTTTATAATATTGTTTCTCCAGTGAAAAAGCCGTCTAGTCTGAATCAGGAGAGAGATATATATAGATTACAAGCGAAAACAGCCTAAAACAGTTCTAAACAACTATGTTGGTGGATGTTGATGTGAGAGGACAACAGAGGATGGACTTTTTCACTGGAGGAAGCATATATATACACGTATTTTGGCCAGAAACAATGGTTAAAAGTTAAAATGCCTTAATGATGGACAAATTCTTACAAATATGCAGCTTTTCACTTCACAAGACGTCAGTTGATGGACTGCAGTTTTGTGGATTACTTGTGGATTATTGTGATGTTTTTATCAGCTGTTTGGACTCTCATTCTGACGGCACCCAC